TCTTCCAAATTCCAAATAGCGATACGCTTGCAATTTCCAAATATTTGCATGATTAAAGTTGTCTTCCTTGTTTCAATAAGCAACCTCAAATTGATGAGTCAGGTGGTAAGATTTATGGGATGAAGTTGTCCCATTTATCTCCCAGCTTTCAAAAATACTGGTCTGCAATTCAGTAACAAACAACATTCCCACCAGAGACATGCAGACTATGCCCATCAATGGTGATGGTCATGCTTTAAAAAAAAAATACACCAACATCAGTAGATGCCAGAGAGAAAAGCTAGCCAAGAAGATGCTTACAAGCCTCCCTCTTCATATCCATAAAAAGGCAGTTTATTTGAATATTAAATATAAGTACACAAAGCTAACAGGCCAGTGGTGCACCTGGATAACATTGTCAGATTGAGTTTGCCCTCCTTGGAGCAATACCAACAGATTGGGTCATCAATCACTTATACCCATCAAGTTACAGGGACATTCTGTCTGCCTCACGAACAACTGGACAGTTCAGTTAAGATAAGGGTGTGAGCAGAATTTTCACTGAATTGACTAAGCCAATCAGTTATTTTGATTGGATGTAAACAAAAACAAAAGCTAACTCTTTTCAGAAATAACTCCCCTTTTAGGAGCTTCCTTCTTCTATCACCTAAAATCCTATAGTGTTCTTAACATCAGAATTGAAGCCACAGCGTTCTCCTTTGATAGTAAATGGTCTAGCAATTGATGATAGAATATGAAAATGATGATGCTCATGATGATGATAATACAGGGTTTCTGAGAGAATAATTTTTATATGAATTTTTTTCTGTTCAATATACTACAGCCACAAATACATGTACAAAGTACTTGAACTCCTTCAAGTCATTAGAACTGGTTTCTCTGATTTAACAGAAATTTCACATTCCCTGACTTCTCTCTCTTCCCTTGTATCATCTGGTCCTCTAACAAACAGTGAAGGAGTCCTCTGTCTACTCCTCACCCATCAGTTCCAGGTAGTACTCAAGAAGAGAGAATGGTGTACCCAGAAGCATCAACTGACCCAATCATTAAATCCACACTCTAAAACAAAGAAGAAAGATGTTAAGTAAACTACTCCACTTGCATGCCTGGCACAGCAGAGCTTGAAGAGCATGAATCAAGCCCCTTTCATCTCTAAACATGCCATAGCACTTAGCCCGGTGACCTTAATATTGAAGTCACAATAAACTCTTAGCCTTGAACAAAATAGACCAAGAATCCATAGGGCCAAACTTTTAAGTTAATGTGATTCCATTTGTGAACTCAGTCTAGAGTTCCCCAAAATTTGTTCCCAAAACCACTGGTCCTAAGTGATGCTTTTGAAGAAAATGTCCCACAGCCAAACACACTGGAATGGAGCAATGGTCCTAAGTCTTCTAATTGTAGCTGGACTTAACCAACCTGGCACTCTATTATGAGATATGTTTGGGAAATGCTGTGTCAGAGTCCTTTTTTGATGATTTACAATAATACTGAAGACTCTAAAAAGCCCTCTTTTAGGAAAAGAGCTTATTTTGGGGGCCTGCCTGTGGCCGAGTGTTTGGGTTTGCGCACTCTGCTTCAGTGGCCCAGAGTTCGCCAGTTTGGATCCTGGGTGTGGACCTACATACCGCTCATCAAGCCATGCTGTGGCAGCATCCCACATAGAAGAACTAGAATGACCTATAACTAGGATATACAACTATGTACTGGGGCTTTGGGAAGAAAAAAAAAGCGGAAGATTGGCAACAGATGTTAGCTCAGGGCCAATCTTTCTCACCAAAAAGCATACTTTGAAAAAAAAAAAAAAAGCTGGTTGTTTCTTGTTTAAAGCAAACATATTTGCCCTCAGAACTCTTTCCTATTTAAAACCATGGACTATGCTTGGGGAAATACTTTTCCAGAACCTGACATCACATAGGATGACTTATAACACCAAAGGGCAGTTTACAGAATCTCCAAAATCTCATGCTGTTATGTGAAACACAAATAGACACAAAGGTGCCTCTTGGCTTATTAATTACCAAAGCTGTGCATAAAAAATAAAAACTTAAATTTATAAAGTGAGATGGGAAGCAGAAATTTCAATATCTATGGAACATCCTATCATCCTGACCACTTAATTAGTTCAGAGAAATAGAGGCACCCACTGAGATTCAATCTGAAGATTTGGGTTAGAATTTTGGGGAATAAGAAACTATCTTTCCAATAGGATTACCAATCCAGTAGGATACAAAACTGGATCAGTTAGTGGCCATCCTGTTATCACATGGCAGAATTGACCAAAAAGAGAGACCTGGGCTTAACAAATATCGTTAACTGAACTTGTGAAACCAGCACTACTGCTGAACTTCTCAGTTACATGAACAATGACTTCTCTCTTTCATTTAGCTAGTTTAGACCAGGGTTGTTATGGATGATAGAATTGCCCTAGACGCCCTCCTTGCAGGCCATGGTGGAGTTTGTGCAATAGCTAACAGATCCTGTTGTACCTGTATTACTGCCTCAGGCAAAGTGAAACAGTCAAAACCGAAATTTAAGAAGAAAGCTACTTGGCTTTCTAAAGCAGACACTGATGGTTTATGGAATTTGTTCACTTGGTTGGGTCTGGTACCCTGGGGAGGAATGGCTGAGGTCAGTGTTACAGATTGATTTCATCATGATTCTTGGAGTCCTGTTGAAATTATCCTTAATTAAATGCCACATTAGACAAAGTGAATGGATTTGGTCCCAGCCCCCATCAGTCAGATTAATCAGAGTTACCAACAGAGTAGCATACTCATGGGAAAACTCACCAGAAGTCATGAGCATGTGAAAGGGTAGGTATTGTTCAGAGACAATTCTCCATGGATCCCTCTGTTTCTGCATGTCTTGGGACAGCTTTTTTCCTGGACTATCTTTTCAAAGATGTTTGTACAACAGCAGCTTGGAAGATAGAAATGGCCTCTCCCTTTAGGGCAAAATAAAGATCTGCCCTCCAGGATAATAAGGCTAATGTCTCCTCTGGGGCAAAGTTTGGGCAGAACTTGCTAGCAGCCCCCTCATAAGATTGAGAGTTTCCTAGACTCAGTATACCTCAACTGTGACGCAAACCTATGTACCCAGCATAGGTTTGGGCCCACCTACACCTCATCCCCATAGGACTAGGGAATAAAAGGACTGCCACAAACATAAAGCTTATGCTGCCTGCTGTGCCATGTGTAATAAAGTCCTTTGATTCTGACCCAGCACTTCTGTGTCTTCTGGCAGCATCTATAAAACCGGTGGGGTAACTTTTTATCTTGCAGGTAGGACAAAATCTCAGACCCTTCACACCTTTTGACAAAGACCCAGATTAGCATACAGAGATAACACGCTTATGAGTTGAGAGACTTAATTCTCCCCCAATTGATCTACAGAGTCAGTGCAATAGCAATCAGAATCCCAGCAAGATTTTTCATAGAAATTAACAAGTTGATACTAAAGTATATATGGAAATGTAAAGTATTAGAATAGCCAAAACAATCTTAGAAAAGTACAAAGTCAGAAGACTTATATACTATCTGACCTTAAGACTCGCTAAAGTATAGTAATCAAGACATTGTGATAGTTGTATAAAATTAGACAAATAGATCAATAGAACACAATAGAAAGTCCAGAAATTATCCCACACATATATGGCCAAATAAATTTTGACAGAGAAACCAGTGTAATTCAGTGGGTAAAGAAAAGCCTTCTCAAAAATAGTACTAGATCTGCTGGAGGTCCATATTTTTAAAAATTTGTTGACCCATACCTCACACCATACATAAAAACCTAAACTACAAAGCTCCTGTAAGAAATCATAGGCAAACATGTTTGATACCTTGGCATAGGCAATGATGTCTTGGAAAAATGTAAAAGTCATAAATTATAACAGAAAAACATTGATAAACTGAAACTTCATCAAAATTTAAAAACTTCTCATCAAAAAGTAATATTGAGAAAAAGAAAATGCAAGCCACATACTGCAAAGAAATATTTGCAACATATATTTCTAACAAAGGATATCCAGAATATATTTTTAAAAACTGCTACAAGATAATTAAAAGGCAAATAACCAATTTCTTTAAAAAGGTAAAATTTTTCAACAGATGCTCCACAAAAGAGGATTTACAAATGGCTAATAAGTACATGAAAAAGATGTTCAACATCATTCGTATCAAGGAAATACAAATTAAAACCACAATTAGATATCACTGCACACTCACTGAATTACCAAAATTAAAAACTAATGATACCAAAATGCTGGAGAGGATGCAGAGCAACTAGATACTGGCGGAAGCCTAAAATGGTACAACCACTGTGGAAAAATGTTAGGTGGAATCTTATCATTTAACCCTCATCGACATTATTATTTAGCAATTCCACTCTGATATTTATCTCCCTCCAAAATGAAAACATATGTCAACAAAAAGACTTGTACAAAAATGTTTATTGCAGCTTTATTTATAATAACACACAATTAGAAACAACACAAATATCCATCAACAGGAAAATGGATAAACAAATTGCGGTATATTCATACAATGGGATATTACCTGTTAATAAAAAGGAACAAACCAATAATGCAAACAAAATATTGATAAATCTCAAAAACATTATCTTGAATGAAAGAAGCCAAACACAAAGGGATATATACAGTATGACCTTATTTACATGAAGTTTTAGTACAGGGAAAATTAATGTATGAAAAGCTAGAAATTCCAATAGTGGTTGCCTGAGGGGAGTACAGAAATTGACTGGAAAGGTGCTCAAAGGAACCCTTCGGGAGATGAAAATGTTCTATATGGTGATTGAGATGTTTATTACCTGGGTGTATACATTTGTCAAAACTGAAACTTTACACTTAAATCTATAGAATTTATTGTACGTAATTCTCAAGTCAAAATGAAAAAAAGAGACTAAAAATAGATTTTATTCAATACTCATTTACCTCCAGGCTATTCAAGGTCTGACATCCAAATTAGATAGGTTGAACTTGAGATTGTTTGCTCTGTTTCCACAGGTGTTGAGGGAGATATCCTCTCAGACTTTACACAGCTACCAGGGCAATGATGCCGGGAAAACCATTCATCAAGATTTGACAGTGCCTATTTGCAATCAGGAGAAGAAAACAAACACCTTGAATATAAAAGCAGGTGAAACCCACCCAAAAGACCTAGTCAAGCACAATGTTGGCGTTCTTGCTTCTCGTGACTGTGACCCTAGCCTCTGCTCATGAGTCTGGTGAGCACTTTGAAGGGTAAGTGAGCACCTCCTTAAATGAGCAAGCCCTTCTTCCTCACTGGCCCCAAAATTTGACTGTGTTACCCAATTTTAAACTTTCTCTTCTTCTTTTGCTATCTCACCATTCAGTGAGAAGGTGTTCCGTGTCAAGGTTGAAGACAAAAATCACGTCAACTTACTCCAGGAGTTGGCCAGCACCAACCAGGTAAACGATTCTATTTTACAGGTTTACTTCACACTTAGTTTAAAATCTTAGACTGCACTGTGATTCCATCAAAGTAAAGTGACATGAAATATTAACTATAGCACTTTTGGAGCAAGAAATAAAAACTTGAGAAACATTCAGTGCCACAATACCTTCTTTTTCTGCCTAGATTGCCATAAGCCCTCTGGTATTATAAATCCATGGTAACTTTTAAAAGAGTTGACAGAGCATGACAACTGGATGAGTTGGAACTGTCGTAAAGGTCATAGAACACCTAATATACAGTCACTTCCCTTCTAAGGCAAAAGAGAAAAATGATCAACTTGGATATTACTGAAAAACTGGGCTTTTGTCCAACTTGAAATTCGTTTCCACATACCATGTATCATCTGTTCTCTTTGATTTTCTTTCGTTCCAAATCAAACAGCTTGAGTGTTCATGACCTTGATTCAAGACCTCTTAACGAAATGGCATGAGGGGGAAAAGAAAGTAAAAAGCCATGAATGATTTCCGTACTTTTATTTTCAAGAAACCGAAATCTCTACTCTACTTAAAAAAAAAAAAATCCACTGTATGTGGGATGAGAACTGACTTTTTAATTATATATGTAGTGTGGCAGGAAGCTATTGTTGACCACAAATAGTTCACCTGGGCCAATGCTGTTTCTTCGTGAGTATATAAACCAAAATAACCTACTAGCTCCTAAATATCTACCCTTCCATCTATCTACCTATCTTTCTAGAGTTATTTTTTTAGCTTTTAAGGTGTGGAGGAAGAATGAAGAAGGTAAAAGGTGTCATAATCTGAAACAGATTCAGAAGTTTAGAATCGAAAGAGAATATAAAGTTATCTATTCCAGCCTTCCACTCAAATCTAGAATTTCCTTCATGGAAATAGCAACTCTGGTTGCTAGCCGTAATAAAACCTGTTTGAGTATTTCCAGGGATAGTAAGAATACTGCTTTTCAGAGTAGCTCATTTGCCTTACAATTAGAATGCTAACTGATACACTGAGCTGAAAGCTACCTTCTTTCACATTGACCCACCCGGCCTAGATGAGCCAAATACTGTCTTCCCTCTAAGATTTATTTTTTCCAGATCCTCCATCATTTCTCTTAGCATTGGTTTACAGACACTTGATCATTCTGGCCACCTCTGGATACAGCTCAGTCATTCTGTCTATATTTCTTTTTTAAAATGTAGCTCTCAGAATTGACAATGGACCTCCAGGTGTGCTCTGATTAATACATACTGCGGGACCACTGTCTGCCTTCATTTCTAAAGCAGACATTTATTAACGGGGCCTAAGATTCTAGCACCTTGAACAGTTGTAGAACATTCTTAGTTTATATTAAACCTACAGTCAATCAAAACCATTAGGTTATTTTTTTCTCACATGAATCACCCTCAAGCAGGGTATTCTTCCTTCTGTGCTTGTCTAGTTGATTTTTTAACCTATGCAGGATTTTACATTTACTCTGTTAAAATTTATCTTGATAGCCTGTTCTCAGCATGTTGAGATCCTTTTAAAAATGAATTTAGTCACCCAGGTAAATAATTCTTCCCCCTAACTTTGCATCACCGGCAACTTTAATAAGCATGTCTTCTCAACTTCTGTCTTTGCTATTGATAAAGAAAAATGTTAAGTCTTCAGGGGTCAGCACAGGATCAGAGGCCTCCTTCAGTTCATTCATTCAATATATATATATATATCTTGAGTCTCCACGGTGGCAGACACAGTGTTAAGCACTGAAAGTGATTCATGAACCATCTCTCCTCAGATAAGTTTGCTCAACTACCCCCATTACTGGGGCGTTACCTACAGCTAACACTGTACTTTCCAACTTGTAAAGAAGAATATAAACGCAGACTTGGTCAAACACTTTGCTCAGATCCAGATTCAGTGTTCTATCAGGCTAGTGGTCTCTTTCAATAATAAGATGAAGTTAATTGGACCTGACTTACTCTTGCTTTAAACCGCGCTGGCTCCCAGGGATCACAGCTTCCTTTTCTAAGCATTCACAATCCATGTGTTTCCAATTTTCTCTGCATCTCTGCCAGAATCCTTGCCAGGCCCCCGGAGCTCCTGCTTCTGGGATTCACCCGTTTTCTTGTTTCTGCGATCCAAGACTTACCCCCTCCACGACTCAGTGATCCCTTCAAAGTCTGATTCCTCCAAGATTGCTGAGAAAACTCTGCAATCATATCTGTGGTGTTTTTTTAATTACCTAAAATTCAGTATTTTTATGGTGGCAAAGAGCAGAGGATCTGGATTCAGACTGCCTGGGTTCAATTCCTGATCTAACACTTGCTAGTTGGACCTTGGCACCTCTCTGGGTCTCAGCTTTCTCGTTTGTCAAATGAGGAGAATAATAGTATTTACCTTATAGGATTGTTGTGAGATTTAAAAGAATTAACATAAGTAAAGCACTTACAAAGAACTTATGGAGTGAGAACTATATAAGTGTTTGTTATTATCACCATCGTTAGATCTGAGATTCTGAATGCAATTTACATGACCAGTATAATCTCCTTTCCTCATCCATCTTGGGGCTCAATGTTCTCATTCCAAAGAAGGTATTTCTGCTAAAATCGTGACATGTGAAAAATTCTTTACTTATGGTAATCTTGTTTCTCAGTAGAAGCAAAAAGAGATAGTGTAATTCCTTGGAAAAGACAAAAGCCAAACAAGAGTTAAACAGGGCTACTTTCTCTCTTCAGCTGCAAACTTCATGCTTTAGCTCGAAGCAGTGGGACCGCATGTTCCTTCTTTATTCATTTTATTTCCAACGTGATTGGAAAAGAGATTTTTATCCTCCTTAGCAGTCTTGGGAGCGCAGCATATTCTGGACCATAGCCTTCCTGATAAGATCATCACAAGGGCATCTAGTCTTTGTATTCATCCTTGGCCATGTGTCCTTCCTCCCAGCTTTTGAACATGTCCTTCTCAAAGGTGAATGTATTGGAGAGATCTGTGACCATGCTGGACACCAGCGGCCTCCCCCTTTCCATCCATCACTGTAAAGCAAGGATTTCATTTCATCTCCTTGCAGTCAGGGTTGCACTTGCTCCTTTATTGGAGACATTCACCATAAAACCTACTCTCTTTTCTCTGTACTTTCTTGAACTCTGTTTCTCTAGTTTAAGGTGCATGTTCGTCTATGCCCAGAGTAACATGGGCACAGTCTTCCAATGTTCCATCCCTCCCGCTACACTAGTAAGTTCCTCCCTGATGTCAGGAATTAGGCCTAGAGTAGAAGTCACTTCCTCTTCCAAAAAGAAAGGAAAATTCCATCAAGATAATTGAAGAGTCTATCAGATGCTCACCTTACAGTCAAGAGCAATGTGAAGAAACGAATCTGTGTAAATTGTGAAGAACCAAAGATCTCCAAAACCAATATTTATTCTTTTATATGCCCATCCTATTCCCAAAAGAACTTAAAGTGGATACACTACTATCTTGCTTTTGTACTGGTTTTGCAGTATATTTTAGAAAGGACTCTTTAGTTATTAGGCAGCTAGCCAATTCAGTTGACATTCCCACAGTACTATCACTTAAAGATATTCCTTTATCTTCCAACAAATGTTCTTTATGGTTCTTTGTCACTCAGCTTCCTAGATTTAAAATTTTATAATCTCAGTTTTACAACTTCTTAACATACAATTCAATTCCCACATCTCATATCATTTATTTTACTCTGTTTCCATATTTGAGACACGATCTCATTCACAAGGTCTTGTCAATTACTGAAATTTATATTTATCTCCTGTGCTAATATTTTGAGTTTGTTATTTGTATCCATACTCTATGCATTGGTAAACCCCTATGAGGCTACTGTGTTGCTCCTGATTTCTGGCTCCCCTGGGGATGAGCTCCAATATGGTACATCTGCATCATCCTTGCAGGACTCCATACTGATGGATGTTAATACGGTTTGCTGACCAATTTTCTCCATGTCAAACTGAAATTTTTAAGGAACCTCAGGTTACCTCTGCAAGTCTTCTGTCAAACATATTTATGAGATTTCTCCACTCCATTTTAAAGAATCCATCATTCTCACTGCAAAATCTTAAAGATAATTCTCTTGATAGATACAGAGAGAAAGAGAGAGAGATCTACATATCTATATATTTACCTATTTCCCCCAATATTTGGCAGAGCCAAGACCAATAGGCAAGAGGTTAGTAGATTAGGAAAGGCAACTTTCAACTTACTGTCAGAAAAACAAACATTGATAAAGTAATTAGGCTATTCTGAAATAGTACTAGAAGTACTCAACCATCACCAAGGATGTTGTGCAGGCACTTATTGCTCTATGTGGACAGCTAGCCTCTTAATCTAGGTTCTTCCAGATAAAGATTCCAGAGCAGACTTCATTTGGGAAGTGCAGGGAGCACCGGTAGAGAAGTGAGGAGTGATACAGAGGGGAAGGCAGCCAAAAAAGAGGGCACTATTAAGCCAGCTACCACAGAGAATGACTAGAGCTTAGTCCTACAAGAACTCTAGGAAAGGGTGCAAATCCCGTGCTCCAGAATTAGCCCACCTGAGAAGAGAGGGAATCGGAGTATTTAGACACCCACTTTCCAGGGTCATTGGTTGAGCACTTATCTGGAAAGAGTTATTTCTTTTGCACTTCCTGCCTGCCAAAAGCTATTAGCTTGGATTTTCTAGTTCTGGGTGAAAGAACTTTCAAGCACAGAGATTCAGATCTTGGCAGTGGAGAGTTCCCTGAGCACAACAAAAGGTCCTAGCGTTACGTGTGGGCTGGGTACTGTCAAGTTGCCTACAGATGCTTGGAGGTCTTCCTGTGCTTTACCAATTCCAGACTCTGTGTCCGTAACAGATACACCTCCCTCTCCCAGCCCATCTTGCAATGACAAGCATTTATCAGGAACACAAATTCAGAGTGAATGCTTAAAGATATCCTTCTCCTGGAACGTGCTTCTCTTTACGATGCTGGCTAACTAGAATCACCAGCCCCTTGCTTCCTCTGTCCTTATCATGACATGCCTTTATACTTCCTCCACTATCATTTAGCCTCTCTTCTTTGACTCACTAGATCATATTCTGTAGCCAATTCTTATCGAATGATCAATACTCTCTCCTTTCAACACCTTAGTGACAACCACACTCACACTTTTTCTTCTGGAATCCCTCCTGGTGTAATCCTAACGCCCCTGCCTCCATTGCCCTGACATTCCCTATGGCCCTGACTCAGGATCAGCACCCGTGAGACAGCTACAGTGGTTTGAAGATTACCAGGACAGGAAATAGGCTACTGGAGTCTCCACAGCTGTATCTACAGTTGAGGCATCTTAAGATCTTACCTCATCAGTTTCTGTTAAACAACTTCTAAGTCTGCGCAAACTCCCTTCCAAGTTTCCAAGCAATGGTCCCAAATATCACCACCTGTCACATGTCTAGCCTGAGACTAGCTCAGAAACATCTGAACAGGGACTGGCAAGACACAAGGGCAGACAAAGACCCAATGTCAGGCTTGCCTCTAGCTTCTAGGCATTGCTCAACTCAAGGAAGGAACAGGAAAACAGACACCTACGAGAGGCAGCCCGTCCTTGGTTAATATTTTCCTATGGAAAAAGGAGATTTGACACCACACATCCACAAAGAAAAACATGAGAATTATCAAATATGTCCTCCTGTTATTTTTGTGCATAATTTTCTCTAAAATCTCCCCCATGAGGACAGAAGCCATGTTTGGTTTGCTCACTAATATATTCCTTTTCTCAGGCACAGAGCCTAGCACATGGTAGGTCCTCAATAACTACTCATGGATAATTGAACAAATGAAAATGTCAGGACATTGCTGGATCCTCGAGAGTATTTTATTTCTGGCCATGGTGCCTAGGTGAGCACCGTGCAGACATACATTTTCCCTCCCTGAGGTACCCTCCACAGGTCAGGGACGTTCATGCTTCCACACATGACTGTGGCATGCACAGCACTGAGTTCCAAGGTAAACTCATAAAATAAGTCCATTAAAAAGCCACAAGGAAAGCTCACTTTGTCCCTATTAAATTTTGTGACTCTAGTTAATTCATCATCATTCCTTCAGCACATTTACCCATGACCACAAACACTGCTATCACAACGAGCAACTGGTACAGGAAATCAATAAAAAGAAAAGAGCAGTTATAGAATACTGCAATTAACTAGCATTATGGGAAATAATTATATGTTCTTCATGCTCGTTGACAGTCAATTAAGGTTATGTATGTGTAAACATTTTTATTGACATCTAGCTGCTTGATCCCAACTCTTGTTCACTAAAAGGAGATAGGTTTAAGAGATTTCACGGATAATTTGAGTTTGAAAATAACCCAGTGGAGTAGAGCAATAGCGTGCTTGCTGATGACAATTCACCCATTGAATTATAGGTGTCCAATACAACATATCTTATTCCTTATTCAGATTGACTTCTGGAAACCAGATTCTGCCACACAAATCACACCTCACAGTACAGTTGACTTCCACGTTAAAGCAGAAGATATTTTGACCGTGGAAGACTTTCTGGAGCAGAATGAACTACAATATGAGTAAGTTCATGTTTTATAGCTATTAAAATTCTCTCCCATGTATGCTCTCATCCAAGCCTCTGAATAACTCTGAAACTGAAAATAAGACCCAAACCATAGCTTCCCCAGGACCCCACACATAGGTCATGGCAGAGCTGGCCCCGGATCCCAGATCTCAAGACTTCAGGTCTGGTAGATTTTGTGCTTAGTTGTCGCTCTTATAAAAATGGCTGTGACTCTTGAACCCCAAATCTTCAGCCAGACATCTGAGCTGCTACTGGTTTGCAAGTGATATATAGACTACAGGCCAAACCAACAGACACTCTGTTATCAGCTAGACACAGGCTTAGTCCTAAATCATATCCAGGCTTCTCTCAGGTGAGCAGTCAGACCTACTGTGAGCCATGAGGGCTCTTCATGCCCTTTTAGATTAAGGACCAGACTACAGTTAGACTGAGTGGTCCTTCTATCCTTTTTACCCCAAGGCCCCACAACTGTCTCTAATGGTAGGAAAGGCATGGAAAAAGGACTGAAAGAAAGGAAAGTCGTTCCCCAAAGGCCTAGAATAGAGTTAGCTAAGCTGATCACCCCACATCTCCTCTCCCCAAATTCCACGCTGGTCCATCTAAGGCTTTTTTTTTTTTTTTTAAAGATTTTTATTTTTTTCCTTTTTCTCCCCAAAGCCCCCCGGTACATAGTTGTGTATTCTTCGTTGTGGGTTCTTCTAGTTGTGGCATGTGGGACGCTGCCTCAGCGTGGTCTGATGAGGAGTGCCATGTCCGCGCCCAGGATTCGAACTAACGAAACACTGGGCCGCCTGCAGCGGAGCGCGCGAACTTAACCACTCGGCCACGGGGCCAGCCCCCATCTAAGGCTTTTAAGATGAGAATGTCCTCCTCAGTAGAGGCAGTTGCCCACTTGTTGATCCAACAAATAGATAGTGAGTGTCTACATATACCAAAGACCAAAAGATAGATACAGCCCCACTCTCTTCAGAGGAAAATAGACTTTAAACAAAGAATTGCAATAACGTGTAAAAAATGTCAGGAAGAGTAAAGGGCTGGAGATGCAGGGGAAGAGACCACGTCTAGGGCTCAGGGAGGGCCACCCTAGGAAACGATGCTTCAGCTGAGAACTGAAGGATGAGTAGGAGTCAGCGAGACGAAGATAAGGAAAAGTCATACTCTAAGCAGAGGACAGACCACACACTAAGGCTTAGAACTGGGAGAGACCATGTTGACCTGGAGGCATTTGCACTAGAGGGAAGGAGGAAATGGGGTCTTTAGTCCAGAGCAGAGTTCTTCCTCTAGAGAGTGGATCAGCGAGAAGCAAAGAGACAGTCTCGGGCTCCAGTCCTGAACATTCGAATGTTTATCCAACAGTGCCCCGCCACAAGCTCAAGTCTTCACCGGATTTTAGGAAAATGTAACCTACATAATTTTAACAGAACTTCTGTCTTGTTTCTCACATCTTAAAAATACAGAATAGTATTTATGTAAGTGGAGATGTCAGAATTGTCACCTATAAAATCTGTACCTCCATCAGGAGAAGTGGTGCAGCATAAAGCAACAAGTAAAGGCTTTGGGAAAAACCAGACCAGATTTAAATCCTGGTTCTGCAACCTCCTGGCTGTGTGACCTTGGATAATTTGCTCAACCTTTCTGAGCTTCAGTTCCCTTATGTATAATATGAAGCCATAATGCCTCTCTCAAAGGGCTGTTGAGAAGATGAAATAAAACAATATGTAGATAAATCGCAACTGATATTACTATTGCTGTGAATGCAAAGAGGGAGATTATACATTTTTTAAAGGTCAACAGAAACTGTTTCGTTTAACCCTGTTATCGTGCTTCACACAGCTGAGCTGTCTGCTTCTGCCTGAGGGAAGTGTCAAAATGTGACCTTAAGAATTGACTGTCTTTTTAAAACAAAGATATAACATAGTAAATTTCAAAATGTGATTTAGATTTATGGCTGTGACACCTTGCTCTTCTTATCACACTAGGAAGGACTTCTAAAACCCTAGCCTTCAGGAGCCTTCCGTAACACTCAAGAGGATGACAGTTTCTTTATAACTCTTCAAGAAAAACAAAAGGAGGATCGGCAACCACAAGCTAACCCTAGCCACCTGAACGCCGTCCTCATTCCGCCCACCTCACAGGGGAGAAAAGCGCTTCTCAGCGCATATCAGTCTCCTTTTATCAGTGTCCTTTTCATGTCCTTTTGTAGTGGGTAAACTTTCGGAGAATTGTGTGAGAATGTCACCTCATCTAGAACATAGGACGTTCCCTGGGGCCTAAGAGCCTGTGAATTCTAGCTTTTCTGTTCAGTGCTTAGCACATTCATAGCATATCACTTTCCACATATTAAATAATAATAAGTCCCTGGAAATCCTGGAGAAGCCACCAGCAGTATCCCTGCGGGGCCGCAAGCCGCCCCGTGCATCCCATTATTATGATAACTAATTTGTATCATAATATGATACAAATCGTATGATAACTAATTTGTATTTAGACAGTTTCCTACCTGAGAATTTGCAGTTGTGTTTGTATATAACAGGAACCATCTACTACACAATTCCAAAAATAGCTTTTCCGATTTTTCAGTGGTTCCAACCCTTTTCACCGAGACTTGTGTCATTTGGCAGCTTTCATCAAATTCTGAATTACTGCAGGAAAAAAATTCAAAATGTGTGCACCAAGAAAAATAACTGTATTTTCAAATGTTTGTGTTGACCCTTAGGTACAGAAAGACTAGGAATTGGATGGTGTAATTCTCCAACTTATGGTTCTGAAGCCAAGCTGACAGAACCTTTTGGTGGGCGGCCCTGCAGAGAATTCCTTCCTACAAATTGCACAGAGGTCGTCTTTGCCCCATTCAACTCAGGGAGAGACTGAGGGTTGCTAACCGCTTATAGCACCATTTTCCTACATATTTCAGATTCACACAGGAAAGCGTCCTTGGACAGGAATGGGTGCACAGTACCATTCTTCAATAGCAATGGGCATGTGGTCTGGGAACTGACCAAATGCTTCATTTTAAAGAATCTGAAAGGGGAAGAAAACGGAGTCAGGTCGCTCATTCTCAGACTTTGCGTTCCTTGCTTTCTTGGGAGTCCCTGTTATCTAGTTTGTCTTGTCAACAAAAATAATCCATAACCAATCTATAAATGAAAATTTGGGAGAGTTTATTCTGAGCTAAAATCTGAGGACCATGGCCCGGGGCCTTTCTTCCCGAAGGAAGGAAGGGCACCAAAGAAGTGGGGTGTACAGAATGGTTATACGCCCCCAAAGAGGATGTTTCACATAGGATTGAAATGTCCTTTTTACAATAGTTGTGAGACTGCTCTGTCAGCACAGCAATTGACGGAAACAGCAGGTAGGTCTGCTGTCTCGGTGGACACAGCAGGGTGGCAGGTCTGCTGTCTCTAGCTGCGTGGTCACAGGTGAACTGAGTGGTCAAAGGTGAGCACAGCAATCAGTTCCTAGCCTAAGGAAAGATGCTTATCCTTAAGGAAATGCCAATGTGGGGGGAAGTTGCATCTTTATCTTAAGGCCATTCGTTCTTGCCGTAGTAAATGTTTAAAGCAGATATATAATACATGCTCAATGGGCACGTCAGGCCCTTTTGGAAAAAACAAAGTCAGGCTGAATTAGGTTGACACCAAATGGCTTCCTCATATACTCCAATATATTCTATTGCTTGCCATTTCTATTTGTCAGTCTGCACGTTTAAAAAAAAGAAAAAAGCAGGGCCAGCCCCATGGCATAGTGGTTAAGTTCATATGCTCTGCTTCGGTGGCCTGGGGTTTGCAGCTTTGGATCCTGGGCATGGACCTACACACTGCTCATCAAGCCACGGTGTGGCAGTGTCCCATGTACAAAAAATAGAGGAAGATTGGCACAGATGTTAGCTCAGGGCCAATCTTCCTCACCAAAAGAAAAAGAAGGAGAAGAAGTTGGATGGCACTATAAAAGGAACATATAAAAGTATAAAATAGTGTCCATGCCTCTGTATTCGGGAGATATAATGCAGTCCCTATTACATTAAGAGGCATTGCTTTAATCTCCTAGAATAGAAGCTCATTATTTAGTAATAATATTTTGTAATATAGCTAATGTAGTGCTTTGTCTTAAATCTAATAAAATCAAATAATCATAGAGCTGGAAAGGACCATTTGAGGTCAATCCCTCGCCTTCAGGCAAAAGTCAGCACCACACTTCCACCTCATCCTGATGCTCTTTTGCAAGTCACTAGACGATACTTTACTCTTGAGTGTCATCTTAAATTTAACTGGTTTTTTATGCTTCTTTGTCCTAATCGTTGATGAAAATGCTTAATATTTAACATAGTAATAACTCTAACAGAATGTCTCATCTTAGTACCAAGCAAAACAATAATCCCAACAGAGTCCCTGATTCTCTCAAATAATTTGAATTTGAGATCAGGTGCAGGAGAAAGGGCAGCAATAGGCTGTGGGAGCTCTGGGACTCCCTCCACTCGGAGCTGGTTCTGGTAGATCAGAGATCGCCATGGTTATGGTCTTAGATACAAACGTCTATGGAAGGTCTTGAGGTTGGGGAACACCTGGGAGCTTTGAACTCACGATCTGGGATACCCACTAAGAAGCCATGTGACCTAGATAATAACTTAGTTGCTCACTGACAATGGGAAATCTTGTTAAAGTGAAAATAGACGTCATTTACCATTTCCTCCTGGAGTTTTAGTTTTGTCAGTCAGTCAGAGAAGCTCATCCTTGTCAGGCAGGATTTGTTCTCTGAAATTGGGGATTTAGGAATATAGTCATTTTCTTAAAGGTTTCTGCCAGTTGATTTTTTTAAGTTTTCAAGGTTTTTGTTTTGCTTGTTTTGTCTTGTTTTTGTTCATTTTTTTTTTTCAGTTTTTAGTTATATTTGAATGTTATTTTCCTAAACTATCTCTTTCTTGGTGTTTTCCTGGAGTTTATGAAGGTGCTAACAGGCAACTTTACTATAGTTTAAATTTTTTTTCATAAACCTTAGAAGATATCTGTGTAAATGACCAAGGCGTATGGATTTGAGTCAAGCCATTGCATCTTAGAACTGAAAAGGACATTGAATACCAGCCAATCAAACACCCCATTCTAAAAATGATGAAATTCAGGCCCAGAGATTAAATTACTTTTCTGAAGCCAATTTACAAGTTAGGCAAAATGATGACCCTGATCTTTTGATTCCTAACTCTGGATTCTTTCTACTTCCACCCTATTCCCTAACAACCCAACTTGGGTGTTGAATATAATTATAGCACTTACTCTGATCATTGTTCCTAACTGTAGCAGGCAGAATGATGGTCCCACCAAAACTCTCTACATCCTAATGCCCAGAACATCTGAACGTGTATTCTTACATGGCAGAGAGGGGGGAGGGTTCCAGATGGAATTAAGTTTGTTAAGCAGATGAACTCAAAAGGGGCAGATATCCAGGAATGTCCAGATAGGTCCAATGTAATCACAAGCATGCTGAAAAGCAGAAGAGGGAGGCAGAAGAGGAGCTCAGAGGATGCAACTTGAGAAGGACTTGAGATGCTATTGCTGACTTCAAAGATGGGGGAGAAAGGCAAAGAGCCAAAGAACGTGGGCAGCCTGTAGGAGCTGGAAAGGGAAGGAATCAGGTTCTCCCCTAGAGCTTCCAGAAAGGAGCATATCCTTGCTGACACCTTGATTTTAGCTGAATGAGACCCGTGTTGAACTGCTAACCTAGAGAACCGCAAAATAATAAATTCACCTTGTTTTAAGCCACTAAGTTTTGGTGATTTACAGCAGCCACAGAAACTAATATACTAACAGAATACTGATGGCTGCTCAATGGGAAATTTTCCTTCCACAGAAAAAATTTTAAAATCTGCTCCTTTCTCTTCCTTTTTAAATACTACCTTAAGACAGTTAAGACTGTAAAACAGTATTTGCCTCTTGCTAGGAAGCAAGTATCATTTGGTATTAATTTATGGCATTTTCCATAAACAGACACAAGTTCATGCCCACGTTAACCAAATGAAGGAGAAACGCGGGGAGGTTCAGCGGGTGTCCCTGACATACTTCCTCAGAATGCCCTTGGGCAGCCGGCGCAGAAGGAGACTTTTGATGTGCGGCTGCAATTCTCTGTGTGTCAGATAAAAACATTTCAAGGCTTCACTGTGGATAATAGAAGTTTCTGCAAACTAGCCTCTGTTCAGAATATCCACAGGATTGTGACCAAGGATGTTAACGCTCAGAAAATTTTGTCCCTTCAGAACACACTTTCCGCTCAAACATAGCAAAGAGAAACAAAGTCAGACATACCCACACCTTCAGGCTGCCTCTTATAATAGGAACTTTCACCTGAACAATCATTTCTAGAAATAAGCAGGCCTCAGAGGTTCTGTCACCAATTTTCATATTATCATTTTTTTTTTAAAGATTGGCACATGAGCTAACAACTGTTGCCAATCTTTTTTTTTTTTTTTTTCTGCTTTATCTCCCCAAAGCCGCCCATACATAGTTGTATATCTTAGTTGCAGGTCCTTCTAGTTATGGCATGTGAGATGCCACCTCAACATGGCCTGACGAGCTGTGCCATGTCCACACCCAGGATCCGAACTGGCAAAACCCTGGGCTGCCAAAGCGGAGCGCGTGAACTTAACCACTGGGCCGGCCCCAATCATATCATCTTGCTACAGAACCATTCTTAGATTACTTTAAACAAGCCAAAACACAGGCTAGCAAAAACTAGTTCTTTAAACCCGGTCTTCTTTGTCTAATAAGTCTTCGGCTTGTTAATATTTCTGAATTTCCACCCATCAAGATGGTTTCCTCAAAACCTAGAGAAAGGCCTCAGGGAACCAATTGTCCCAGTTACCTGACCATGTAAAGGACTCAAGAGCATACTTTCATGTGGCAGCCCAAGGCCCTGATCCAGAATGCCCCCGGTACCAGGGGAAACCATTTTCCAAGGTTAGGGTCCAAGGACATCCAAACATGCAAAGTTTGGGCCAAGGAAGAGCCTGCCTTGCTCCCACGCTCCAGTTCCCTTCTCAACCGGTTACTCACTCTTTGCGATGAGCAGCTCAGGTTGAGGGCAGCAGGAACGATCAGAGGACACGTGTGAGTCCGTGGAGAGTGCACTGTACCATCCAGTAAGGCCGTCACTCTGGGTTTCCGCATACGTTTGCGGAGAAATGCACTTACTCACAGGAGCACCCCTTCGGTTTATTGCAGGGTGCTGATAGGCAACCTGAGATCTGCGCTGGAGGCTCAGTTTGACAGCGGGGCCCGCGCAACGGGACACAGTTACGAGAAGTACAACAACTGGGAAACGGTAGGATGTGCGCGTGGTTTAGACAGACATTTGGGAATTGAACCAAGAACGTCACATTAATCCACAAATGGTTCCATCTGGTAGATAGAGGCCTGGACTAAACAAGTCGCCAGCGAGAATCCAAACCTCATCTCCCGCAGTACCATTGGCACCACGTTTGAAGGACGCAATATATACCTCCTCAAGGTAATCACTTTTAACCGTGACCTTGCTGTGTCTGAGGGCTTTCAATCAATGAATTCTAACACATTAGCATCTGTTTCACAGACATGCTCATCCCAAACGTTGTTATAACTCTTTCCCTGCCTCTCTCCCCCAGGGAATCAAACAGATTCCCCAGCTTCTTTTATCATATGTGGAATTTTAAATCATTATTTTGATTTATTCAAAAGGAAAAATGCAATAAAATAAGAGAATCCCTATAAATTTAACCACATTCCTGTAAGCAATGTAAATGATCACCTACCTTGATGAAATTCTTCTCTCCCAGATGTCGTTTGCAAATCCATTTGTTAAAGAGGTTCATAAACTTCACGTCTATCAGACAACATTACAAAGCATATCAACAATTTGTTTCTATCATCCTCTAATGTCATTTTTGTCATGTAATTCTAATGAAGAAAATAAAAAGATCAGGAATAAGTGGGAGAGAAGGAAAAATTCTTACAAGATTAGCAACCATCATGATTACTTCTAATTACTCATCCAGTTGTCTTGGTCATGTCATCTAATAATAGCAGCTGAAAATAACCTCCACGTGAGTACAATTAAGCAGGGTAATCAAGCATCTTCTGAAAATATGAGCTTGTCAAGCTTAATAAAAATAATAAACAGCCATGTAAGCCTTCAGCTGAAACATTGTGAGAGTCTAGAGGCAAGAACATACTGTGCCAGTATTATGTTTTAATTTAATCACAGGCTATATCTCTTGCTGCTGTCAGGTTTCACCTGTTGAGTCCAAGCCCAGACGGGTAGTGAATGGTAACCGCTGAATGTGCTGAATGCCAGTTTCCCTTTTCCTTTTGTTTGCAATAGGTTGGTAAAGCTGGATCAAACAAGCCTGCCATTTTCATAGACTGTGGTTTCCACGCCAGAGAGTGGATTTCCCCTGCATTTTGCCAATGGTTTGTGAAAGAGGTCAGTAAGTAGAAGGACTTTTGGCAGTGGGAAATAGGAAGTACTTTTTTTATTTCGATCAATTCCTTATAAGATAGCTACAATAAAAGAGAATAAAAACACAGAAAAAATTCATAATTCCAAGTTCTCATTTTTGGATATTAGTTTCAACTTTCACCAAGAGACCTTTATAAGGCAAGATTTTCTAACAGTTAGCAAATTGTATTTATTTGAATTTCACTCATCTGAACTTTTCACCAGCCTTTGGTGGAGAGGCTAACAGGTAGTATAGTGGATGGGTCACTTAAATGATTACTGATTAATGATTATTGATAAGCCACTAACTTGATCATCTCCTGGGTAACAATCATTGTATATTTCAGAATAAAAGAAAGTAATACACAGTAGTTCCTACTCTAAATGATACTGGTCTTCATTCCTTATTCCTTAATTCTTATGATAAGATATATGGAAAGCCCTTTAACTAAAGTTCTTAAATATCTCATATTGGTATGAATAAATGATTCAATAAATAAATAACCAGGAGAAAAGGAATAACTCTTTCTTAAAGAAGAATTACAACTATTGGATGTACAAAGAATGAGCAAAATTGAAAATCACCATTAGAACTCCACACTAATCATCATTTCAGGCAAATCTATGGATAGATGCAAAAATTAGTGAGTAAAAGGTTAAAGAGAGGAGGCCGGCCCGGTGGCCAAGTGGTTAAGTTCGTGCGCTCCACTTTGGCGGCCCAGGGTTTTGCCAGTTCAGATTCTGGGCGCAGACGTGGCACCGGCTCAACAGGCTACGCTGAGGCAGTGTCCCACATGCCACAACTAGAAGGACCCACAACTAAAACTATGCAACTATGTACTGGGGGGACTTGGGGAGAAAAAGCAGAAAAAAACGAAAGAGAAGAAGATTGGCAACAGTTGTTAGCTCAGGTGCCAATCTTTAAAAAAAAAAAAAAGTTTAAAGAGAAATGGGATATTTGCAATCTCAAAGTATCTCCCCCAAAATACGTACTAAATTACAAAGGCAGAATTTACAGTGGAGAAACAGCAGAAACTGCTCAACCAAGAGGTCAAGGCTAACATCACCAGTATGAGACATAATCACTATCATGTACTGCCTGTATTATGCACTAAAAAGACACATCGTATTTGTACTATTCTTCCCCAAAATGTATAACCCCTCTCTAATGATTAAAAAAAAAAATCAGACAAACCCAAATTGGAGGACTTTCTGCAAACTCTTCAACACTGTCAAAGTCAATAAAAGACAAGGCAAGACTGAGGAACTGTCACACATAAGAGCAGACTAGGGAGACAGGACAACCAATGCAATGTGGGGTCCTGGATGGGATCCTAGAGCAGAAAAAGGAGATTAGCGGGAAAACTGATGACGTCTGAATGAAGCCTATAGTTTAGTTTATAGTATTGACCAGTGTTAGTTTCTTCACTTTGATCCTTGTACCATGGTTATGTAAGTAAGCTGGTAACATTAGGAAAGCTGAGTGAAGGGTATGTAGGAACTCCCTGTATTTGCAACTCTTCCATAAGTCTAAAATTATTTCAAAATTAAAAGTTTAAAAGACTGAACGGCTTCAAAAATATAAGAATACTATGATATACGATATAATTTCCTTTGCGTGAAGCACATCTCTATCTATTTGTTATGGTCTTGGTTTCCAGACATGTTATATATCCAATTGGCACCATTTAACTTCAGTGGGCATCTCACCATCTGGCCTCTAGAAGGAAATAACTTTTTTATGTGCTTTTTTTCTCTTTTGTTGGTGAGGAAGATTAGCCCTGAGCTAACATCTGTTGCCAATCTCCCTCTTTTTTTTTTTCCCTCCCTAAAGTCCCATTACACAGTTGTATATCCTAGTTGTTAATCTTTCTAGTTCTTCTATGTGAGATGCCACCACAGCATGGCTTGATGAGTGGTGTGAAAGTCTGCACCCAGGATCCAACCCTGTGAACCCCAGGCCACTGAAGCAGAGCACACAAACTTAGCCACTACGCCGTCAGGTTGGCCCCTAGAAGGAAAGAACTTTTATCAGTATTTTGGTTATCTCCAATTGTAGACCACTAAAAGAACTTAGATCTCTGTCTCCTCCAACCTAATAAGCACATGCTTCATCATGCGTTATTTGTGGATGATACACAAAGAGCATATAAAAACTGTTAATACATAGAAGCCTCAAATATTTTAAAGTCTGTTCAAGCAAGCCTCGGGAACAGCTGAATTTCAGTTGACCATGACCCTGGGGCTAAGGGCCTACGACTAAGAGAACATCATAAATAGGCATGAGGTCCTTCCTTCATGGATACGTGTTCACACTACTTAGCAGGGAGAACTGGGCCCCTAACAGGGTTTCCTTCTCCAGAAAGAGGAGGAGGAGGAGATTTCCACCACTGCGCAGCCAGGCCGCCCCAGATCCATCCCTGTGAGCCCACTTCACAACGGGAGGCTGTCCCACTTCTTCCACGTCGGGCACGCCCGCCAGTGAGACCATCTACAGGAGGTTTCAGAGAAACTAAATAAACTTCTAGACCATTCCATAGACATTCCTGACTTACCAGGAGTAGGTGTTACCCTCATTGCCCACTAACTTTGAAAAAAAGTTATTGTGGTTGCTATTTCAAAAGTAGTGAGTATCTACGTTCTTTAAAAGTCTTTAATTTTATTAAATCTTTCTTCATCTTTAAAGTCAAAATAAAAAATAATAATTATGTGAGTTATATATGGGCAAAATAGAGTTTCCTGGAAACAGAGAAGAATTAGAAACAATTATCAGCAATATTTTGTTAATTGCCTTTTAAATATTAATAATACCTACCTGGATAGGGGACACAGCTTTCATTACCAAAGCCAACATTCATTCAGTCTATGTAATTTTCGCAGCATCATGCCCTCCATTTTTCCATGAAATTCTCTTCATGTTTCATACACAGGCTGTTCGCACCTATGGAAGTGAGAGCCAGATGACACAACTCCTCAACACGTTTGACTTTTATGTCGTGCCTGTGCTCAATATTGACGGCTACGTCTACACCTGGACCACGGTATCTGAACCAATACTGACAGGGGCTGAACCAACCACTTTCTTGTCCACATTGTACTTGTCCTAACCATATAATCCACTTTCAGAACCGAATGTGGAGAAAAACGCGCTCCGTCCGCAGCGGAAGTACCTGCGTTGGCACAGACCCCAACAGAAATTTCAACGCTGGTTGGTGCTGTAAGTATCTGGCTGACTATTTTGCACGCATCTGTTGAAAAGCATAGGAGGAAAAATAACACAGGAAAACACAACAGTGTCTAAAACAAGAAAAAATATAAAATTTTATATATTAGAGTTCTAACTTTCTGAAAGCACAGACAAAAAACAGTTTATTTATTCAGTCAATAAAAATGTATTGTGTGCTCCATTGTGGTCCCAGCTGTGCTGGATGCTGGAAACATAAGACTGAACAAACCAGTCACAATCCTACTTCTTGTGGAAAGTACAACCTAGAAGAGACTGTCATTAAATAACTATTTAAATAAAATTGTAACATGATTACAATTTTATGATTCAACTCAGAAAATGATTACAGTAATACAGAAATTTCTCATGGAAATATCCTCTACTTACTAATTTTCTTACCTTTATTGATCTCATTGTCTAACACTACACAGGGACACATTGGTGATTTCACATGTAACTTTTTACCGTTAGCTTAAAAACGTACCATCCTAATCTTGTGGCTAAATGTATACATCCTTTATAATCTATACATACATGAGGATGATTATAACAATTCCTGTAAAAACAACTTACTTTTAACTCTCTAATTTGAAAGTTTGAAACATGTCCCACAAGAACTTCAGTAGATGACCATTTGCCATAAACAACAATATACGTTTTTTCAGCCATTGGAGCATCTCGAAGCCCGTGTGCTGACACTTACTGCGGACCTGCTGCAGAGTCTGAAAAGGAGACCAAAGCCCTGGCTGATTTCATCCGCAAAAACCTCTCCTCCATCAAAGCGTACCTCACAATCCACTCCTACTCCCAGATGCTGCTCTACCCTTACTCTTACGCTTACAAACTCCCGGCGAACAATGCTGAGTTGGTAAGTAGTCACGGTTGTAGATACGGTCTTTCACTGTTGGGATTTTTTAAATTCTATTCCTGAAAAAAAATTATAAGAACAATTTCTAGAAGTTCCATTATTGATTTTTGGTAGTACAAGTAAAAACTTACCACAGACTTATAAGGAATCTAAAATTGGTTAGACAAGTTGACTAAAAGAAATATGATTCTGATGTCGGAAATGGTCCCCAACATGCGTTTTATTCACTAATCTTCAAAATGACAACATTTCCACTTCTTCCTGCTTCACCGCAATACTGGTTCACGTGATGATTTGAGATGCATCTGGGATAATCAACCCAGTTCCTTCCTCTCATACAGCATCTTAATCAGAAAGTCAACTTTGCCCAGTTGTCTTGAGCTGGATTTGACAAAGGCAGAGCATGGCAGATGTCATTAGGAATTTGGCACATTTGGTTGATAGCGGGTTAGATGATGAGATCCTAAAATTGCTTATTTCACTGTTTGATCAGGTGAGACACAGAAGCAAATCAATCAATGAACAAATGATGTGAATGGGCCCTTACTAGATAGAGGAAATAATGCAAAGAAATTTAAGTATCCGTGACTCAAAAACCTAGCAATCTTGTTGAAGACTCAAGATAAAAACCACATGAAAAGTTAAATAGCATAACGGTTTAATGACATTCACATTAACAAATATCACAATCAATGTGTAATTTTTTAAATAAGCAGATTTGAATCCTTAAAACAATATTTTTTTAATTTATGAAACATCTGGCTGCCAGAAGTCGGGACCAATAATCTAAAAGTACAAGTATAAGATTTAAAGCATTTGAGTTAACATCAAAAAAAAGAAGTATCCCATTTAGACGATGACATAGATGTTTGGCTTACCTAAATGCGTAAATTCGAAGACCCAGTGACCTTAACACCTGGAAATTGTTGTTTTGTACTTTCAGAGACCAAATAAAACATGTAATGCTTGTAAATATTTTGTGAAGAGCACAATGGAAAAATAGCTCAGTTTCTTAGAAAATTGATAGCTAATAGTTGGCCAGGTCCTTTTCTTAAAAAAAAAAAACTGCTACATTTTAAAAAGCTTCCCATTTTCCCTATCTGTAGCCAAAAAACAAAGGAAAACATCATTAGTAGGAACCATTAAATATTTCAGTTTTCCAATTACACTCGGTCTGTAAGTGTTCCCAGCGGGCGCTCACAAGCCTGCTGTCCCAGAGATGGGTGTCGTCAGCTCCTCATTTCAAGCCAAGATTTCTGGCCACCAAAGGAGAAGAAGTGGGGTATGTTGTTTGCTTAATTCATGCGAATATGTTTAAATTGTTCCACATCAGAAGAAGAAAAGAGAAAGCTATAATAACTAAGCACTAATGAGTTAACAAGTATAATATTAAAATTAAAATTGTAAACTATATTAAGTGTAACAATAACTAATATATCCAGTTTGCTTAATATCAGCTAGTTTTAAACATAAATTCTAAAAGACTAATGCTGAAAGAAAAGCTTAAAGTGTTCTCAATAACTTTCCTTATTTGGGGAGTAAGTTTAAGCCCTTTGAGTAACAAAAGTTTTGTCACCCCACTGGATCTATACGATAATAATTAGTGTCTGGGCTACTCTGAAAGTCTACAAATTATCCCTAAAAAAAAAAAAAAAAAGAATCAAAGGTCAGCCCGGTGGCATAGCAGTTAAGTTCATGCACTCAGCTTCAGGGGTCTGGGGTTTGCCGGTTCAGATCCCAGGTGCAGACATGGCACCGCTTGTCAAGCCATGCTGTGGCAGGCGTCCCACATATAAAGTAGAGGAAGATGGGCACAGGTGTTAGCTCAGGGCCAATCTTCCTCAGCAAAAAGAGGAGGATTGGCAGCAGATGTTAGCTCAGGGCTAATCTTCCTCAAAAAAAAATTCAAAAACAAAAAACAAAAAGAATCAAGTAAGTTATACCTTTAGAATCTCAGGAATAATTTTTGCTACTTCCTATGGGAGTTTTATCTTGAAAAAGACCCAAGACTCAGAGTTAGTGGGTTTAGTGGGCCAGTTCACATGTTGCCCAAGTGGTGTGAGACCATTCCAGCAGAATGCGAGCCACTGACGCTCTTCTCTAAAAATCACTTCTTCATTTAAAATCCAGGAAAGAGAGTCAATAGTAACAGAGAGAGTAGAAATCTTGTCCTCCAAAATTGTTTTTAAATTCTAATTAACAAAGAAGTGAAATAAACAGAATTCTATCAAAGTAAAACATTCATAATCTCAAAAAAAACACAGACCACAAAATAATCTTATCTTGGATGTTTATTTTTATACTCACAAAACTAGTAAATTCAGGAGAAGTACATGCTACTTCTTATCTGTTGCAGAGCATGATAAGATAGGTGACTAAAAGGCAAAACTTAATTGCATTTATATTACACTCATTGATTTAAAAGTTACCATAATTTCCAATAATTTTTTTCTGTGATTAAACTTTTGCCTAGTATCTTAAAAGAAATATTTAAATACCACTGGTAAAATCTAACATGATTTGATTTTTTTGATTATTTGATTCATTCTGGATCTAAATTTAGTTTGGCACCCCAAAGCAACTTAAATTTTTCAAATAACTAGAGATACTTTCAATATTTTTCTTATTTTGTATAATTCCAATTCACTTACTTCCTAAGCACATTTTGCTAGAACACTCATAACTATAGTGTTACTACAAATATATGTATATCTAAAAGAGAATTTGAGTCTCTCAAAAAGAAAAATACTGGCTTTTTCATGGTTTTTATTTGTAGTGGGGGTATCAAGGAAACAAAGTAAAAGTCTTGATCTGGAACGATTAATGTTCCATCCACACCTAGTGCCTCGATATTAATTCTTAATTAGAAAAATGTGGCCCCACTGTAGAAAAAGAAAGATAGGAAGAGATAAGTAAGATGAATTCTTGGCCTACTACATTATAGAAACTCAGAATTTTCTTAAAGGAATGCAAATCGGACTTTGTCTTGCACAGATTTCGGCCTAGATGTGTGTGTGTGTGTATATATATATATATATATATAATTCTTACTACTCTTTATACTCATAAAACTTATAACATTATATTTGTAGCCAAAAAAAGTGCTTAAAAAGGAATAAGACTTTAAACTGAAGGATATTATTCTGTACTCACATTAGCATTCTCAGCCCAAATTTAGGATATATCGTAAGTAGCAATCTTTTGATATCTGAGTCATGATAAAAATTTATGTGGCTTCATTTCTGAAAGATCGTACATGTAGCTTTCCCAACATTTACTCAAATCATGAGACAGCCTTCAGAGGGAAGAAAGGCAGAGATGGGAACGCAAAAGACCAATGAAGTAAAAGGACAAGAGAAGTAAGAGATGGATTACAAAGAAGGCTACAAAAAATATATCTTCAGTAAAAAGTATGAGGAATCATAAGAGTGTCTTACATACATAAAGCTTTCCAGTTTGCAGATTGCTTTCACACGTACCATATTATCTAAAGAAAGAATAGAAAGTGCACTGTGAGTTTCCAATGGCTTCATGAACTGTCCAGTCACTCACTGTTGATTCCAATGTAAACCTCTATCACTATCTTTAAAGGAAGTTTTAAGACCCAGAAAAAGAATATACTTGCACTTCCAAAATTCTAAAGGAATTTAATGAAATATTGAATTGCATGACCAGTTTATTGTCAGAGGAAATAAAAACTAGGAGGCACAATTGAAAAAGTTCCCAAACTTACCCATATCTTTGCATTTATTGAGCAAAGAGAAACTTCCAATCTTTGGTCCACCTTCCGCCCAAAAAGGCCCATGTGGCACTGTTAATAATTATTATAATTACACTTCTAAGTTCAAAAGCAGGAACCCAGAATAATAACTGGTCAACTAAGTGTCTTGACCCATTCCTCAGGTTGACAAATGGAAGGCAGACGTGCACCACACACAGGGGCAGATCCAGGGCATGCATCTCACACCACATGTCTGCATGAAGCACTGAATTTTACAGCTGGAAATCGTGGAATTTCTCTGGTTCTGCTTTCTCATTTCCAGCTGAGACAAAGGAGTCTTGGCTAAGTCAATATCAGTGGAGAGGCAGCCACAGGCCTAGAGTTATTGGATCCTCAAGAATTTCCTAGGCTGCCCCAACTTCAAAGAAACACACACGTATTTGTGTAGCCATGTTCTATGTCGGTACCCCACGCAGCTGTTTTGCAGAAGAACATTCATCAAATAAAGTCTTTCACCCCACAAATACATCACTATTACCTCTGTCCCTGGACATCGCTAAGAATTCACACTGGTAAAGTGAGATGCCTGACTTCTTGCGGCTCGGTCTTTGTGATTCTGGCTCATACTTTCATGGGTACATATTCATTAACCAAGAGAAAGATGACAGTCTTTCTGAAAAATTATTAAACTTGACCAAAATATAGAAATCCATTTCTAAAGTCTGATACATTCCAGTCCAGTGGTACCTCATCACCTCTTAATTAAAGTTTTAGCTAATGAGCCATCAAGATAGAAATCCACCGCTCCACCCAAGCACATGAGCATAGAGCAAGAGCATGATTAGAGATAAACATAAAAATCAGAAAGAAGAGATGTTGTGATTAGGAGGTGGACAATTGCAGGAAAATGCGCACACCCAATCACAGCTGTCACCCTGCCCCTGCCTAATAACAAAAACAACAGGGCCACGGTCCCACTGTCAGGCAGGCTACCAGTAGCTAAGGCAAACAGGACTTGAGGCACAAAACATTCACTTCAGGAATTTTCTCCGAATTTCTAATCTCATTTATAAGGCAAGAAAAAATTTTTTTCTTTTTGGTGAGGAAGATTGGCCCTGAGCTAACATCTGTGCCAATCTTCCTCTATTTTGTATGTGGGGTGCCACCACAGCATGGCTTGATGAGCAGTGTGTAGGTCCGCGCCCCGGATCCAAACCCACAAACCCCGGGCCACCAAAGCCATGCATGCAAACTTAACCACTATGCCACCAGGCCAGCC